TTTGTGTAGAGGCATTTGAGGCCTCCTGTAGGTTCATGTACTGACCCCCTAGTCCCAGCATTACCCTGTAAAAGTAAAAGAAAAGTAAAAAGAAATTAATTACCCTGTAAAAGTAAAAGAAAAGTAAAAAGAAATTAATTCAACTGTGGTTGGTGATGTACCCAAATGTACACCACTTTAATCTTAAACCAAACATCTTTTTTCCCCTACTAGTTTGTTTAAGAAAGACAAACAATATAGAATTTTGTATGAATTTAGAATATTCACAAATGTCCACTAGGGATTGAACATGACCTAAAGGCTCTTACAGCTCAGTGGAATAACTGAAACTGACATTAATGAACTTTGGATCAGGCTCTGAGTCAAAATTGTCAAGCTTTTCCACTTATGATTCCAAATAGATTTGAATTCCTATTTCTAAAGAAAAATATGAAAAAATTGTGAATCTCTTACATCATTCAGCTCCCTGACTAATCTTTTTGGCCCCCTCTACACATGTTGGTAAAGATGCAATTGTGGGATCATGCATTAGATCCAATCATGCTTTATTGCCAGTGTAGGGGGAAATCAGGCTCTCCTTGCATTGGCAAGAAGCAGGTGCCCACAGCCTCCTTTGCTAAGGGGGCCTAAGATCATAAGGGCAATGCACAGCCAGGACCAAAAGATCCATCAGGTGTGGGGACTCTCAGTCTTGGCTCTGTGTGCGTGGGCCTTCATGCATCCTCAAGACTTGGGTAGTGCAAATGCTGCAACACCCCCAGGCCCAGGGGTTTCATACTGGGCATGGCGCACCCCTGCAGCTAGGAACCCTGTTAGCTGATGGGGCTCCTAGCTGAGGGGAGACCCTGCTACATATGCAAATTAAAAAGCTCAATAACTAACAGCTATAAAGTTAGTATTCATTTTCAAGGTTTACCTTAATAGCTGGCTGGAGCTTTTTATTGTGTGATAGGTAGATTGCATGTGTAGCTGGTCTTAAGGTAACTGCAGAATTAACCAGTTAATTGAGTGATACCTATATCATGTAGAGGGGGACTGTGTGTTAAGGGGGCATGTCTATTTAAAAATAAATATCAAGCTCTTTCCTATTATCAACTACATTTTGTTTAGTTTTATCTTGAGAAAAGCAGACTTTTATTTGTTTCCTCTGAAGTGATTTGAATATATGCAAAATCACAGGAAAAATTCAATGCACAAGTAATATATTTTTACAGTAATTTATATTATTCTGAGAAAAACCTCAGTCTTTTCATAAATTTCCTTTGAACAACTAGCTAGGATAAATACTACCTTCCTACTACTTCAGCTAGAGGTAGGGGTGAGTATTTAAGAAACTGCCAAATGAAAATCCTACTTTATATTTAGCATATTGTTATCTGACACTAAACTGACGTAGCATGTTTTCCGTAGGGATAAAAGTGCATTATGTTCCTAGCATGTATTGCCAATTTCCGTTTCAATCATTAATGAACAGAAATGATATTTTCCTTAGTGACACATCCAGTATTTGATATTTCATAGTATTCTTATCACCTCTTCATGATCAAAAAAGCATTATCAGAAAACATTAACTCATTCAAGTAATCAGTACACAGAATTCTTTGGTGATCCAATTCATTTCTGCTTTGCTAACTTACCATTCAAAATGATGAATTATCTTATAAAAAAGATAACTTTATTTTTGTGGAGGTTTCATTTAATATCATAAAGTTCCCAGGAATACACACACTTCAGCATATACACTTCTCCCAGATTTTCAGCCCTACAAAAGTAAAGTACTAGATAAACAACAATAACCCAATAACTACTAATTGTAGATGGAGCTAGTAGTGATATCTATTACTTGACCTTCTTTTGTAGGCTCTATTTTCAATCACTTATAGCTTTCCCCAAACATAACTGTTACACTGAAATTTTCCATTCACGTTTCCACTGACTGAAAAAGTAGCAGCAATTTTAGGTTTCCCTCATGGTAAAAAATTGTGACCACTGTTTCACTGAGCTAGAGCACTTCCATACTGTAAAATGGGGTTGGGCAAAATACAGCCCATAGGCTACATCCAGCC